TTTTCTCAATAATTTTGTAGTTTTTAAACTTAATAGTGATTAAATTTGGATTTTTTAAAAATTGCCAGTTTTTAATTTTAATATTAAATTTTATCATATAAATTTATAATTATTAGTTAGTAAAAATTATTTTTAATATTACACGTATTTAAAGATCTAAATAGCTATAATGGCAGGATTTTGTTGTCAAGCTTTTTGAATCTTTCTGTACTTCGTTTTGATTGGTTATTCTAGCTTTTGTAACAATGCTCCCCCTAGTGTAGGATCGTTAATTCATCTGAAACTTTTTAAAACCATTTATTTTCTTTTCAACACCATCACTTGATAAGACACAGAGTGTGTTGAAACAAAATGGCTATTTTTGTAGTGATTTTATAACATACTTATGTTATAAATTTTTATAAAATAATTATATCTGCTCTACTTTGTATTGAGCACTCTTTTAAGAATAGTAATTGTTGGTTATTGGAATTCATTCCGTGTATACCAATTATATACTTTGATATATATATATATATATATATATATATATATATATATATATATATATATATATATCAGGGGGGAAACAAATATAGCTTACTACTTCAAGCCAAGAAAGTCACCATATTCCTTACCAGATCAAACCGTTACTGCATCTGCTTCCTTTTTTTTATGGAAGAGCGTATATTGCTGGCGAACTGAAGTTATCGGTGTTTGGAATATAAACTGTCAATAAAGTCGCAATGTGGAAATTTTAGCTGATGGATGGCACTTTATATCCCCAGTATTGACTGTTATTTTTAAATAATATTAACACTCATTTTCGTTTTTATTAAAATTTTACCAATTATTATTATTAATTTTCTACTAATATTTACTTATTTTTTCAAATGAACTGAAAAGTGAGTCTTATGTATGATGTAAATCTGTTTGCTCCCTTATAAAGATTATGTTTTTATTATTATTATTATTATTATTATTATTATTATTATTATATATAATGGACATATTAGGAATTTATTTTCTTTTTGTTGATTGGATGATTAACACGAATGGAAATAAGATAAGAATGAATAGAATCGATTTCATGTGTGTGTGTGTTTGTATATATATATATATATATATATATATATATATATATATATATATATATATATATATATATATATATATCAGTAGGGGAAACAAATATAACTTACTACTTCAAGCCAAGAAAGTCACCATATTCCTTACCAGATCGAAACCGTTACTGCATCTGCTTCCTTTTTTTATGGAAGAGCGTATATTGCTGGCGAACTGAAGTTATCGGTGTTTGGAATATAAACTGTCAATAAGAGTCGCAATGTGGAAATTTTTAGCTGATGGATGGCACACATATCCCCAGTATTGACTGTTATTTTTTAAATAATATTAACACTCATTTTCGTTTTTATTAAAATTTTACCAATTATTATTATTAATTTTCTACTAATATTTACTTATTTTTTTCAAATGAACTGAAAAGTGAGTCTTATGTATGATGTAAATCTGTTTGCTCCCTTATAAAGATTATGTTTTTATTATTATTATTATTATTATTATTATTATTATTATATATAATGGACATATTAGGAATTTATTTTCTTTTTGTTGATTGGATGATTAACACGAATGGAAATAAGATAAGAATGAATAGAATCGATTTCATGTGTGTGTGTATATATATATATATATATATATATATATATATATATATATATATATATATATATATATATATCAGTAGGAAACAAATATAACTTACTACTTCAAACCAAGAAAGTCACCATATTCCTTACCAGATCGAAACCGTTACTGCGTTTGCTTCCTTTTTTTATGGAAGAGCGTATATTGCTGGTGAACTGAAGTTATCGGTGTTTGGAATATAAATTGCCAAGAGGAGTCGCAGTGTGTGATTTAAAAATGAGAAAAGTTTTATCTGACGGATGGCGCACAAGACGAAATCCGATCAATACCGGCTGGGTGACCGTGGAAAGTGGATATGATGTTGAAACCCTTAATGAACCCCAGCTATAAAAAAAAAAAAAAAACATCACTGATAAGTTGTGCCAAAGCATCAAACAGATTTCACGAAATATGTCTATCTGTTTGTTCTTTATTTCAAAGAAAACTTTTTGTTAAAAAAAAGTACGTTTCGTACGCAGAAATCGATGACGTAAACACAGTTTTAAACTTGTAAACAAACTGCTAGATGCAATAACCGTAGTTCATTTAGTGCTGGATTTGCTTTTTGACCTCAACATTTTCCATATTATTTAAAGTTGGGAAAGGTTTTTGTAGTGTAAGAACTTTTTGGGAGACAATAATAATTTACTGATACAAATCCCCTTAATTAACAATAGATGGAGCAAAAGAGGTGGATTCAAACTTTTCCCAAGTGGATTTACGTGTAAGTGAATTTAACTCTAGTGGGATTGAAAGTCAGCTCCCCAATTTCCAATTCTGTGCTGTTATCCACTAAACCACCCGCACATCCCAGCTTACAACACCTGGTATCCCCAAGCGGTCACCCATCTTGGTACTGACCAGACTCGACCTTACTTACCTTCGGTGATCATACGAGAACCAATAATTTAACGTGCTATGGCTGTAAGTCTTGTAAAAGTCAGAGATCAATTTTTAGACTGTATCGATATTTTCAAATGATAAAAATCAATACATTCTTACAAGTGTTGCACATTAACGACGTTCTCAATAATACTAATATATTAAAAAATAATATTAATATACTAAAATTAATGATAATATATTAAAAATAATGCTAAAATATTAAAAATAATACTAATATATTAAAAATAATGCTAATATATTAAAAATAATACTAATATATTAAAAAATAATGCTAATATATTAAAAAATAATGCGAATATATTAAAAATAATACTAATATATTTAAAAAATAATACTAATATATTAAAAATAATGCTAATATATTAAAAATAATATTAATATATTAAAAAATAATGCTAATATATTAAAAATAATATTAATATATTAAAAATTAATGCTAATATATTAAAAATAATACTAATATATTAAAAAAATAATGCTAATATATTAAAAAATAATATAAATATATTAAAATTAATGCTAATATATTAAAAATAATGCTAAAAGATTAAGAAATAATACTAATATATTAAAAATAATTGTAACATGTTAAAATAATACTAATATATTAAAAATAATACTAATATATTAAAAAATCAATGCTAATATATTAAAAATGATACTAATATATAAAAAAATAATGCTAATATATTAATTTTTTTTTCGAAAATTGCGAGTTCTGTTTAAAATATAATAGGACAGTGAAAAACAATATATTTTAATTAGAAATAAAATGGTTTACCCTTGAAAATAATCCTCCTCATGTCTAAAGCACTTTTCCATTCTTCTTCTGTCTCGCTTCTTTGCACTGCTGCAAGGATTTTTCTTGGATGTCCCACAGCTCCGTTGTTACGGCATCTTGATGCCCTCCGCGTCTTCAAGACGGGGTCCCCTTGACAATCCCATTGAACTTGGGGAAAAGAAATATATCACACGGAGCAAGATCAGGTTAAAAGTGAAATTGTTCCAGTACGGCGATGTTCTTTTTAGCCAGTAACTGCCGGAGGCTTAGGGCGTTGTGACAGGGACATTGTCTTGGTGAAGCAGACACGATTTGGCCTGCATCAAAAGCATGTAAAAAATGCACTGGTCACAGAAATCTCAGATTACACTTATATACCCACAAGATACCACGTTAGATTATAACACAATACGCTTATCCATCTTTCGCTCAGGGCTCACACAGCACAGCGAGTCCTGTTACATTTCAGACGTCTTATATTCTCTATATTTTTATGAGCGGACCTGCCTATTTAAATAGTGCCAATCAAATTTATACGGATAAGAAAAAATAATCTCATAAGGATATCAAAATACACCCTCGATTATAAATGCGAAAATGTAGACTTATTCTCGCTCTCCCACTTGTAGAATGAACCAAACTGGAGGATTTATATAGCATTCTATATCTAAATCAGTATCAGTGTGGATATGGCTGTTATCGGAAGCGGACGGGTTTTATTGTAAAGTCCAATAAAACTGTTAGAGATCCTATCTACGTAACCAGATCCGGGTGATACTATTACCAATTTATTCTTTTGCAGTTCCCTTTTCATAGCGTCCTGGGTATGATGATAAACTACATCCGCGTCCTGGGTATGATGATAAACTACATCCGCGTCCTGGGTAAGATGATAAACTACATCTGTGTCCTGTGTAAGATGATAAACTGCGTCCAACAGCAAGGCCTCTAATCAGAAGGTTTTGAGGAGTGTGGAACTATCTCTTAATTGCTGGTGTTCCCAGGTCCACCTTGACCTGGGGTGGTAGCACCTGTTAGGGTCCCAGCTATAGGCAAATAGTTAACCCCTAAAATGAGTTAAAAATCATTATAAAAGTGTAAAAATAGGTTTTAATATCAAAAATACTTTGTAAAAAAATTATTACCAGAAATAAATTTTTGAAGAAAAAAACAGTTACCAGCAATACGTTTTTTGAAAAAAAAAACAAAAAAACAAACTATTACCAGCAATATATTTTTGAAAAAAAAAAACTGTTACCAGCAATATATTTTGGGAAAAATCTTTTACTAGCAATACGTTTAAAAAAAATATTACCAGCAGTACATTTTTTAAAATAATATTACCAGCTATACATTTTTGAGGAAAAAAATATTACCAGAAACAGATTTTTGACAAAACAAAATATTACCAGAAAAAAGTTGTCAACATTAAATAACCTATTGAGGTTGATATACCGGAAAAAGGTTAGGGTTAAACCAAACAAACCAAAATCCTTTTCATAAAAGTTGTAGATTTTCTAGTGAAGATCATGTTCTATAATGATAGAAAATCTTTTTGTAAAGGACATTTTTTAAGACACTATTTCGCCCGACATGCCGTCATGGTGAGATCTATATCTGGGTCTTCGTGTGCAAACATGGAGATTATTATTAATAATCCTAATCTACATTAATACGCAACCGGAAAGTATTTAATTATATTTTATGCGAAATTAACGTGTTTTGAATTATCGATAATCAGAAAGTGATTTTAAAACTAGCGCAATTGTTCAGTATATTTGCTTGGTAGTTTGTAATTAACAAGTATTCGTCTTGAGCTGTAAGAATAAACTCACCAGTTTCAGCTACTAATTCTACACTACGCAACTATATATGGTATGGTTTGTGTTTTATATTGAAAGAATATTATTATTATTATTATAAATATAAAATATAAAATACTAATGAAAATTATAAATAAATTAAAACAATAGTATAAAAAAATTGTATAAAATAACTTAATTAAAAATTAAAAATAATAAAACTCTCCCAGCATGCAACAAAAACTGTTCCTGCCGAAAATACGGACAACCGGCTAATAGACGTTAAATTCCATCTCTTCCCCACGAACCTTGGTACATGCAACACGTGTCCAATTTGTCTCTGTGATATGAAACAGGACTAGGGGCTTTAATTTAATTTAATTCTAAAATTGAATTTGAAGTTTTAGCTTCTGTTTTTGAAACATGGTAATTCCTGTGTAGCGATGAAACCATATTTTTAAATAATTAAATATATATATATATATATATATATATATATATTGTTCATGATTTTTTTTATTTTCTTATTTGTTTATGGGAGGATAATATATACATTCTTATATATCAACAACAAATTTGATGTAAGATGTATTGATAATAAGGATAATATAATCTGTTTATGTTTATTTATACATATATATTTATTTTCTTTTGTATTATTGTAATTAATATTTATTATTTTATGTTAATTAGATAAATTATTTATGCATGTATTTATTTTAATTTTTTAAATCATTTCACCCAAAGCAAGGTGGGTATGCCATTGGTACGCAGGGCGGGGGTTACAGAGAGTGAATGTAAGAGAAATAACTGAGTTCTGTGAGGGTGGTGGGGGGCGAGGAAAGGATAAAAGCTGAACAGGGTTCAAGAATTTAGAAGATGGTGACTGACGTTAGATTTAAATTTTTGAAGATTGTAGTTATCAAGGAAGCAAGGAAAAAAATGGACTTCCACAGTGGCGGGGGGAGTGCGAGAAAACAAGCTGTTGGAGAAGAAGTGACGGTTACATTTAAATAATTTAACAGTAAACGGGTGGGACCTACGTGCCAATCAAGTAACACACTTAAAGTCGCGTAGAGCAGTTGCCGATATGCACGTAACTTGTTACAAACAACTTGTATCAGTTTAATATCTGTCTATATTTCTGAGATGAGATATTATGTACACTATTTACATTATTCGAACTATTGTCCTCATCTTTGTCGCCATATTTATTACAACGTTTCGGCCCTTCAGTATCTGTCTATATTACTGAGATGAGGTATTATGTACACTGTTTATATTATTCGGACTATTGTCCTCATCTTTGTCGCCATATTTATTCCAAGGACACATGGTACAGTGGATAAAGGCATTGGTTAGATCCAGTGACAGGACCCAAAGAGTGTGAGTTCAATACCTGCTTAAGGCAGTGGAGAACATTCAGAGGGAAATTCACAAGAGATAACTGATAACTGACATCCATAAAACATGGCACGTGGAACTAGAATAGTCTACACCAGTGAGTGAAATAAAGGGTCCAGTTCGACATTCCAGCCACCTGAAGAAGGCAGGGGGGTACAACGGACGAAACGTTGTAATAAATATGGCGACAAAGATGAGGCCAATAGTCCGAATAATGTAAAAATTGTATCAATTTCCTGATGGCCATTATTTTTTTCGAGCATCAGGCATGTGTGATACGAAACTGGTTTTAGCAACATTTGGTTGATTTACCCGCACATCGTTGTCTCCCGCACTTGCTCGATTTAAACACCATTGTGTTTGTATGGAACATGTCACAGGCGATATTAAAATTATTGTTATTATCATATTTAAAATTTACCTATTCCTCATAATTTCGGCTCAGATTTAATAGGATCAGGCAATGAAATAAAATAGTATGTTCGAATATTAATGCTAGGGAATAGGTTATTAGCAATTTCAATGCGTCTTCGTCTGTGTAAATTATATTCGTTTTATATTCAGAAGCAGATGCGTTGAAAGTGTCATGATTTACGACTCAGCTATTATTAATAAAGAACCGGGCGATTTCGATTTGTACTCTGTTCTTGCTAAACGATTTACTGATACAAGGAAGAATTCATAAAACTCAAAACAAGTAATTAAGTAATTAATAAATAAAACTAAGTGTAAATTAGTTAAAATCAAATTTCTATAACGAGTCAGCCCAAGCAAGAATCAAGCATCCAAGCGCTCATCGTGAATAACGTTTTCTTTTCTATTTCGATATTCGTTGATTACTTAGTAAACTCCATAGTTTACCTTGACTTTACAGTTAACCCGAAGAATATTTATCAACCTTCTTAAATATAAAAATTTTGAATGCTTAATGATATTTTTACTTCTAAATATATCCTTACATTTACATTGGTAAAATCCATCCGAGGACGAAACGCGTTGGTAAAGAAACTTTTTCATTTTATATATATATATATATATATATATATATATATATATATATGTGTGTGTGTGTGTGTGTGTATATATATGAAAGTGAACCTTGAAGTTAGCACACAGAGGCGACAGGTTATTTCAAGCTGGACGCAATCGTCAGGCCGCGAATGTTGGATTTTTCTTGGACTATTTATATATATGGGTCAGTGGTGCATTGTGGGTAATCTATTCTGGTGGTTATATTTGCAGGAGTGGATTTATTGTTTATTTGTTTATTTAATTGTTTGGGTTAATTTATTTTACTTGTTTTTTCATTTTGTATTATTTATTCTTTTTCTTTCAAAGACAATAAATAATATAAAATGAAAATGAAAAACAAGTAAAATAAATTAAGCCAAACAAATAAATAAATAAACAAGCCACCCCCGCAAATATCCGCGCGAATATCCACAATGCACCACTGACCTACATATATGAATAACCAAGAAAAAACACAGAATTCGCGGCCTGTCGCCTCTGAGTGCTGACTTCAATGTTCGCTTTAATATTTATATTTACATACGCTCTATCTCTGATGTTGAGCACTTTATCCCACAAATACTGTACACCTTAAAACTATATTTCTTCATACACAGTGTAACCCGGATAAAGAGACCCGGATATAAGAGAAACCTGGATATAAGAGAGATTTTCTCTGGTCCCAAATTAGAGCCTGTGTTATCTAAACAGAATAGACCAAACCCGGATATAAGAGACTTCTCCGGTCCCGACAACTCTCTTATATCCGGGTTACATTGTATATATATATATATATATATATATATATATATATATATATATATATATATAAAATTATAACATATGAATGTTATAACGTCACTACAGAAATTACAATTCTCTTTCAACACTACTGGTGTTTTAACAAGAGATTGTGTTTATTGCAATATAAAGGGTTTTAATAATAGTAATTTTTGTAGTGATGTTATAACATGCTAATGTTTTAATTTTGCATAAATATTATTTGCTCTAATCAGTATTGCACACTCTTTTAAGAATAGTATTTTTAGTTATCGGAATTTTATTCCATCTGTGCTATATGTATATTTGTGTGTGTATTGTGTGTGTGTGATAAAATCTTGTTTTATGGTATGCTATACTTATGGATTACAGAGCTCACTATCGGTGATAGAGTGTAGGTAAATATAAATGGACGTTGAAGTCAACACCCAGTGCTGACAGTCCTCACTATATATATATATATATATATATATATATATATATATATATATATATATATATATATATATATATTAATTGGTGCAGAATATGTAATATTATAAGAAGTAATCGTCCAAAGAATTAACCAGTGAAGTTAATGTGATTAATGGTGGGCGAAATCACTTCGCTAACAGATCAACAAAATATTAACTTAGTAACATCTTTCTGAATGACTCGAGCGTTATATTTAAAATTATGAAACGGATTAGATGTTTTCATACAGTTACTTTTGAAGAACTCCGCTCCTTCATCGTCAGATATTAAAAATAAATGGATTGCAAGCCGAAAATGTTTGTTTTTTTGTTTTTTTAAGACATCTTTCTAAAAGCTTTTGTATTTGAAGATCTGATGAATTGGGACCATTTTTACGACTATAATGAAATGAATTATTACCACATGAAGTTTTATTGTTTGTGTCTCTTATAATAATAATTATTGCTCTGTTTCTAACATAGACCTTCCTGGATTTATATCCTTTTAGAAATATCCATAGTGATCAATAATATTATCATTACATACACACACACACACACACACACACACACACAAACACACACACACATATATATATATATATATATATATATATATGTAATTAACAAATAGGAGACTTCATAAAGCCATGGTAATCTTTTTTTCGCAAAATCGAGAAGTTGTGTTTTAATATAGTTCCAAAATGATGGAATGGAGGTATATGCCTCTAGGAGATGCGATAGTAGTAGTAATGCCTCCTTGTTCAACGGACAAGTGAAGGTATTGAAAATGATTTTGCGAAATAAAATATTACAATGTCTTTCTGAAGTCTCCTATTTGATAATTAGTTATCACATGCTCTGTCATTACATTGAGCTCTCGGATTTATATCCTCCCTGGAATTATTCATGCGTATAACCAATCATATATATATATATATATATATATATATATATATATATATATATATATAATCCAGCACTATATGTGGGACAAGCACACGATAGTCCAATATGAGCTTTTTAATGGTATTCACAAAAGCAAAGAATAATGGGCATATAGAATATTTAGAAAACATCGTCCAAGAAAAGGAAAAGCTAAATATGAACTTTCATGTAGACGGACGAATAGTGGCAACTACAGGCAGAGAGAAAATGAGGAGCAGGACTAATAGTAGATAAATACAAGAGGAAATGTATTCCTGGATACTTACAACTGTCGGACAGTGTTATTCTAGCAAATAAAATGGTAGTTCAATAATATGTGACACCATTTAGGGTTGGTAGAAGGAGAAAAGAAAAAGGAAAGAGAAAAAAAAGAAAGGCGAGAGTTAAATTTAGATGATAAAAAAAAGCCATCACGAAAGGGACATTAAGCGGTGTTATTTTGACAAGGAAAAATGGTGAAAATTTTTATTGCCATTGTCGAGAATTCTAAATAGATAAAAATTAACTGTGTCATGGTGGCGAACTTATATTATCGGGAATAGATAACGCCAGCATGTGAAAGCGTCTAATGGGCCAACTGCTTGGTGATGGCGAAAAGCTAATTGACGAATTCCAGGTTGACCAGCTCGCCTCAGAGACAGAATTCTAAATAGATAAAAATTAACTGTGTTGTCCGTTGGCCACACACGAGTTGCAAAAATAAAGAAAACCCAACCATAGTTTAAGTCTTTGTCGATGGGAGGGTGTCGTTGGACAAGGCATCTGGGTTGTGTTGAAATTTGACTATGACAGCGAAACTATTTTATCAGAAATCGGCACCAAGAATACAAATACGGCTAGGATAGCGAAATTACCTATCGGGACGAAAAGTTGGCTGTGTTTCGCTAGATGACCACCCACTTGATAATTGGCGAAAATCTCATTGATAGGTACCAGGTGACATTGAGGATAAGAGCTGCGATTAAGGAACCACACTACGAAAGAAAAGAGAAAGAAAGAAGGAAAAAGGAAAAGAAAAGATTTTTTTTTTTCTTCGAGCAAGATTTTTTTTTTGAAAACAAGGCTAGGCTGGTCACACCCACACTGCTGAGCGCCCATTGGATGAATGTCGGAGGTGATCATGTGATGCAGGGGGGAGGCCTGCTGGCACCCATTGAGGGTATATGTATGGGATGTCACTGCGAGAGAGAGGGAAAACCGTTGACGTCCTCTGAGGGTATGGTGAGATACCCATATGAGAACAGATGAAGGTGGGAGTAGGAGAAGACTTCCAAAAATGGAAAGGAGTGGAAATTTCCTGACCGAATACAAAGAAGTGGCCTGTGGATTTAGAATTATCAAGGAACCTCAAACCCCGACGAGCCCACCCCGGTTTGGGTCGGCGTCCATATAAGCAAAGTCGCAGCGAGCGAAAATCAGTTTCAGATTCGAGTTCTTTTTTTCCAGAGTTTCCAGTTCCATTGAGTTCGAGTTTAAGTTGAGAGCTCTGAAGACCCACCACACATTAGCTGACTAAGATTCACGCAATTCCGAACTCATCTTCTAACCAAGAACAATTTATTTTTGAAGAACGACTTAGACTCATACCACCAAAACAAGTTTTACGGATATCGCCTGAAGACACAACAAGAACCAGTTTCTTAAAGAACAGACAACTTAAGATGTTAAGAATCGCCTAACAAAAACAACGTGTCACGTATCCATATAGCGGGTTGGGAAATAGACACAGTACTGTATCCAGAAACCAGATATAAAATATTGTTCTCCTTTTTAACACATTTGAACTTTTCGAGTTGTTATTTTATTTTATTTTACATCTATTTGTGCGATATCGCCCTTATTCGAACTCGACTTGCATTACGGCCCCGACGACTGATTGATTTCGTCTGCCTAAGATCAATTCACAACGTGGGTAGGTAGACTGGAAATCAAAGTAGTTACTTCGGTAACCAGACGTTGGAGGCGAGTTGGGAACGACGAGGCTGATATCGAATCTAACCAGATTCCCATCCGAATCACCAAAAGGTTAGAACGTCACATTTGGGTGCCGCGACCAATACCAAGCCAGTTGGTCGTCACAGGACGGGATAGCACGACTGATGCAGACAGGCGGACGTCACGTTTGGAGCGGTGACACCCGCGGCGGGGGAGGGGTGTCACAAATATAACCATGATAGTAGTTCGTCCTCCAACGTCACAGAACCCGAAAGAAGAATTAAATTTTGCAACATATTCGATAATGCCAAAAACCAATGAAAATCACAGGAAAATATCACCATCTTGATGGTCCGAAATGCATATGTAAGTGTTGAGCAAATTACTGGAATATTCGACAGGTATGGACTTGCGTCGCGAAATGCATTAGGACAATTGATTAATTGTTGCATAGCAAATAACTAATTGATCAATTGTCGCATAGCAAATAACAATTGATCAATTGTCACATAGCTAATAACTAATTGATCAATTGTCGCATAGCAAATAACTAATTGATCAATTGTCGCATAGCAAATAACAATTGATCAATTGTCGCATAGCAAATAACTAATTGATCAATTGTCGCATAGCAAATAACAACTGATCAATTGTCGCATAGCAAATAACAATTGATCAATTGTTGTTGCATAGCAAATAATTAACTTATAAGCTAAACTTTTTTTAAGAATATCTATTACATCTGCTGACCCAGAAATTCCCATGGATTAAGTAGACTACTTAACTGTATGTTAATCATTGTCAAATACAAATCTACACTTTATAAAATAAAATAACTGTGGGCACCATCATCTCAAGGTCATGTATGAACAAATGCTAAAATTACGGAAATTAAAACAAGCAAAAGTAACGTCTAAACCAGTGGTTTCCATCCGATTTTGAACGATACCCCACTTTGGTATTTCTAAAATTATGGTGCCCCCACCTTGTAACATTTAGTTCTCACATATTCAAAATTCTACTGCAAATTACGGGAAAAGGTTAAAAGGCCATTAACTTGGTCTCTAAACAAGCCTCTAAAGACCATGGCGTCAATGAAAGAGAAACATTTAAAAAACGAAAAGACAGTTAAGTATATATAGTTTCAAAACATTTAATAGAGAACTGAAAGGAAGAAATATAAAATATTTGAAAGAAAGCTTATTCTGTAATATACTTTAATCCTTTTAATCATTAAATAATAATGCAAAATGAAATTTGAGCTCACTAGAAAAGAATTCACTGTTAATAACTCATTCTCAAATTGACCCCTTATTCTGTTGGTATAGCAAACCGAAGGGTGCACATCCTACACCTGCCCCCCACCCAATTTATTACCAGGACCCATCAGTGGGGCACGCGACCCACGTTGGGAATCTTTGGTCTAAACTGTAATATAAAAGAATCCAGAACGATTCACTTTATAATCAAGGATATGCTGAAGCAAATGTAGAAACCTGTTAAAGACTTGTAGGGAAATGCAATGGATTTTAGTGATATCGTTAAAATCCCCAATTCTGAACTAACACAGGCTCACAGAATATTTGACTCCTTTTTTTGCACACATGTTGGCTCCAGATTTTAATTTCTACATTCGTATATATTAATCAATCAGTGATATCATATTGAACGCGCTGTAGACTTTGTATTTTCAGACTTTTAATATTTGCTGCATGCAATGAAATTTTGTAGGATCACTTCAGAAAATGATCAGTAAATATTTTCCCTCCTCACAATAGATATTTAAAACTTGCAAAAATAATTATAAGCCAATAAACTTATGAGTTTAGTAAATTCTAACTTTTAGATATTTCTTATAAATATTGTGATGTTAAGTTAGTAAATCATTTTTTCAGTTAATATTTGTTGTACAAGCTGAAATTCACTAACCTTAATTAATTACTCACATTTGTGCATATTTATTCGAGTATACTATATTACAAAATATGCAGATAGAGTTTGTTTACAAATGCAAGCCTGCTACTATGAAATTACACGCGTACATAAAACTACCTAAATACGTGACATTCCCATAAGTAGACGCATTCTGTTTCTTGTATAATAACGCACTTGATTCGGTTGTATTGTAAAAACAAACAAAAATATATTTGGGAAGTTGTTTCGCAAAGAATCTTTGTGAGTCATTTCTTTCACTTTGAAAGAATATTAATACTCAATAATAAAAATTATTTAAATTTGTAGAGCCGTGTTAAAGATCGTCTATGCCTTCGGTTACCTTCGCCTGTTCTTCTACACAATTAAGGGAGAATATAAAAGTTTAGAAGTGGTCAGTAACATGTTTGATCGAACATGAATAAAAGTTCCCCTGAAGCTGAAAGAAATTGGTCGTTCACTGTAGCTTAATTTGCATACGGAATCTACTTTCTTTGGATCGTGAATCTATTTTCGTCAGGTCCAAAATAAAAACTATATTCTAAACATCTAAAATTTAATCACGTGGTCTTTTGTTAATATGCTAGTCTTTTATTTTTTGTTTTGCGGTTAACCAAGAAAACAGGCGTCATTAATTTTCAGTGCCTCTCAAAACGAGCAAATCGTACACCAAATCATTTTTTTTTTTTTTACCTGAATTGTGCACGACTTGACTTCTTGCACGAGTTCCATATCTCTAGTTTGTTTTCCAGGTGTTAGATAGAAAGCACCTTCTTGTATTTTCTTTGGTGCGTTAATTCACATTTTCTTTTCCTTTTCAAAACTCTCACTTCTCATGGTTTCAGTTTTCCTTCTTACGAACACAATTTTTGTGAATTCAGAACAATATATGCAATGCATATAATGCCTCCTCATGACAATCGCTAAATCTAGACTAGGTGACCAGCGATATAGCTAAATGGGTTACGTTCAAAGCACTATCACTTGATATACGATACGATAGTATAGTAGAATTAATTTGTGGAACTGCTATTTAAAACAAGATGCTCATGGCCCTCATAGAACCTCTTAATCCTCCAAATCCACGTTTACATGTGGTCTGCGAGAAATTTTAGTTTAGTTTTAATTCCAGTCTAATACAGGGAATTTAATACACTTACCTTAATTTCTAACCGATTTTTTTTTTTTGATATTTTTTCTAATAATAAGTGAAATCGACGAATTCATCCATATTGGCAAATCTGTCAATACAACATAATTTTCTTTGTTAAAAATCTTTCAAAAAGAAATTATTCTATTCTGAGGCGTTATCTGAGAAAAATGTCTGATTTCGAATCTAATAAGAATTGAAATAAATATATCGCAGAAAAAATATTTTAACATACATATGATTGTTCTTATGGGGTGTTGACACATTTATTGACAGCCAGATACTTGGAAATTTAACTAAAAATGAGATAATCATAATAAGGCCATATATGGAATTATTAAGATTATCTCATTGCAAATGCTTTTTTATGTGAACTTTTGGTTACACATTAATCTTAGAAATTATAATATTTTAAGCATTCTAATATTTCATAAAATTTTATGAAATTTCATATTGTAGTTTTACTTAAAAGTTGCTTTCTTATTTTCTGCAAATATCGTGTATGGATGTTTGTATTTACAAAACCGACAAATCAGAATTTTTAACGCAAAAAAAGCGCTCACAATTTAAGGTCATATACTGGCGTAAAAAGAACAAGGTTTTTAACCCGGATTATATAATTATAGGATTATATAATTATATATTATATATATATATATATATATATATATATATAATTATAGCATTACATAATTATATATTGTATATTACATATTTATAGGATTACATAATTATATATTGTATATAGTATACAATTATAGGATTGCATAATTATATATTATATATATATATATATATTATATAATTAAAGGATTACATAATTATATAAATCAATTATGTTCAAAGCCCTTTCACTCCTAATTATATAATAGTATCGTAAAATTCATTTGTGGATCTGCTATTTAAAACAAGAAGCTCATGATCCTCATATGGAAGCATAGAACTTCTTAATAATCCAGTTCCACGTTTACACGCGGTCCGAGAGTAATTGATGATATGTTTGGTTAAATTAATATGTTTTGACTTCTGCACCAGTTCGACTTTGACATGAGCGAATAGCTTCTTCATTCAACAACTGTTGATAGCATCACTTATAAACAATTTACAAAGACGAACTACGAGGCTGTAGATCTGGAGGAAAATGGAATGGTCCCAGCATACATAAGTAGTGCCCCACGTCTTGCCGTCTTTTCCGTTAGATCGATCGATCTGTAATGAAATTAACGAAAAGTCGATATCAATCCAAGCTACTGAGGTACGGCATTAATCATGGCTTGGAATGGTTTCGGGAAACGATTTCAGTTTCAGCGTAATTATCCACAGTGCACGTTCATCGAGGCACTAATGACGCCCATGACATGTTTGTCATCAAGTGACCATCATAGGCTAACCGTGAAATACTTTAACTGTTGCCAGCGATCGCAAGGAAAATAATAGGCATAATATGTGGGAAATAAAGGAGAGAATGACTGAAAGGTTAAACTAACTACATGAGGAGAATATCTTTCCAACAGAAGAATTGGAATCATTTAAGGGGATTTTCTATGGCCACTGATCTTCGTAAAACAAGCTTTATTTATGGATATTCAAAGAGATTCTTAGTGGTACAAAAGTTAAATATAGAATAAAACGCGGAAAAAAGTTGCCAAAAAACGATAAAATATATTATATATCGTCTTGAACGGGCGGCTTTTTGATCGGCATTTAACAATGAGAATGATGCGTTATATTAAACAATAAAAAGAAATTAAAATTACTTCGTAGTGATTCAGAGTAAGCATCTACAACTCTGACGCTAGGCAGACGACTGAAAAGATCGGATGCTAAGTAAACAGAAGTGGAGGCATGTAACAAGAGAGAACGGACTTATACAGAAAGCAACTGAAAGTACCTCAGATATAAGATAAGAAAACGGAAATGGTGAAAATTAATATTTAAAAACACATGGCACAGTAGATAAAGCCGTTAATTAGATCCAGTGACAAGACCCAAAAAGTGTGAGTTCAATACCCGGTTAAGGCAGTGGAATACTTGGAGAGGGGAATTAACAGGAGATAACTGATAACTGATATCCATTAAACATGGCACGTAGAACTAGTACAGTCTACCCCAGTGAGCGAAATAAAGAGTTCAATTCGCCATTTCAAGACACCTGAAGAAGGCCGGAGCGTACAAAGGCCAAAACATTGTAATAAATATGGCGACAAAGATGAGGACAATATTTCGAATAATGTAAATAATGTACATAATACCTCATCTCAGAAATATAGACAGATATTTTTTAAAAAATAAGTAAGAGAAAAAAAGAAAGTTCTCGAT